GAGTCTCTGGTTTTTCTATTTTTATTGATACCTTTGAGATGCTATGCTGGGAGGAACCATGCTTTTCAGGATATGCATACCCCAAGGGCAGATTGATTTGAAGCCTTTTCGACCATACTTTAGCCGGTGGTCGCACCATTTGGTGAGGGTCCAATCTTATGCACAGTGGTGGATTGCTGGAAGTGTCTAGCTTTTCCGTTTTTGCTTCACACTAATTTGGAACATTCTTTTTCTCATCTCTGTGAGGATGGCACTGGATTTACACTTTTTATGGTGGACTTTTTGTTTATAATTCATTGGTTTTCATATGAGATTGCACGGTTTTATATTATTTATCACTTGTTTATTTTAAGTGCTGCACTTATATTTATATTTATTTTTTAGAGTTTTTATCATCACTCTATGTGCTGGCTGCTATTATTTATTGTTGTACCTGAGCGCAGAATTTTTGTACATATAAACACACCCCCCCCCCCTCCCCTTGCTTAAAATGTGCTCTTATCCTTAAAGTGCCGGAGCACATGGGCAATTTTAAAGTGATTCTAAAGGTTAATTTTTTTTTTTTTAAATAACAAACATGTCTATACTTACCTACTGTGTGCAGTGGTTTTGCACAGAACAGCCTGGATCCTCCTCTTCTCATGTCCCCCACAGGCTCTCCTGGCCGGGTGCCCCCACAGCAGGCAGCTTGCTATGGGGGCACCAGCTGCTCCGTGTGTCCATTCACACACAGAGCTGAGGATTGGCCCCTCCCACTCTATCTCTTCATTGACTGGCTGTGATTGGCAGCAGCATGAGCCAATGGATCCTGCTTGCTGTCTAAACCAATGAGGAGGCAGAGACCCAGGACAGCCGAGGCTGTCATTAACATCGCTGGATCGCAATGAGGCTCAGGTAGGTATTGAGAGGGCTGGGGGAGCTCCTGTACACAGGTTTTTTACCTTCATGCATGGAATGCATGGAGGTTAACCTCTTGACGCAGGCACCTCCCAGCCCTTTAAGTGTTTCAGAAGCCGGGGTGGGGTTATAGGGTCATGTGATCGCCGTGATTCGCCAACAATGTGGTCACATGATCGGAAAAGATCCCGATGGAAAGGGGAGATCAGGACCTTTCCGTATGTGCCGGGAGCGCACAGGGTGCACGCTCTCAGCACATATGTATTTTTTAATTGCACGCAAATATGTGGCCGCTCGGCGTCAAGGCCCAGACGCCGAGATGCGGCATATTTGAGTGCGATTGGCATCAAAGGGTTAAAAAACCTTCAACCTTTACAACCACTTTAAGCATCATATTCATGGTATTAAGATCGCTTGCGACTGACCACAATGAGTAACCATCAATCGCTACACTGATAGAACAAATGGCTCCCCATGGTGTAAGCTATACAGATAGCATGTAGTAGCAATAAATCATACTGGTCTTGAACGTTGTGCAATAGCGTGTAATTAATTGCTACTACATACTAATTGTGTAGTTTACACCATAGGGAGTCCTTTTTTCCATTTGTGCAGCAATCAATGGCTAGCGTGATTGAGTAAGTAAATATCTCTCATGTGCTTCTGCACTAACTAGAATCCGTATCATCTGGAGATCTCAACAAACCTCCATGAAGCGCTATATAGTGTCTTTGTTGCCATGTAACATATGGTGGGAGCCGGTGTGTGAATGCTCTACATGGTGCCAGAAGTGGGTTTTGGTTCTGCAGGCAGAACTGTAAAAAGGACATGTTCGTAGTGAGTAAACCAACAAGATGAAACTATTTACTAGAAAAGACATCTGCTCAGAAGGAACGAGTGCCTGCCACACATGGGATATATTCGAGTAGACAGAGTCTGCAGTACGCTAACATCATGCTACACAGAGAGAAAATATTGAAAATCTGTAACTGCATAAAAAGTGGATTGCTACATCAATTCAAGTGTTTGGCTTTTAAAATGTAGGGCTCTACTTTGGAGGAAAGAATCAGTTTGTGAGATGTTCCAGGACCAGGATGACTATGATAAAACCTCATAAATGAAATCTGAGGGAAATAAACCCTTCTCCAGTCGTCAATTCCAAACAAGTACAAGATTGCAAAGAGAATCAGCGGCAAGATGAAGCACTAGATATAGATTTAACTATTAGAGAGACTGCGGCTAGCTAGATATTAGAACAAATACTATTGTGGTACCTGTGAATGTTGATTAAAGTGTTACTAAATCCTGGACCCTGCATTCACTATATCTGGTCCCCCCCTGTAAACATGGAAATGCAATTATTTTAGTAAATATAAACGGCTAAATACCTTTTCTCATCAGCAGTTAGAGCAGTCTTGTGACTTCTATCTGTGTCCAGCAGAGCACTGGTTAAAGCTTGTAGGAGGAGTTTTCATTCTGCTCTAGGAGGACTCAGAACCCCTGACCTATGTCTGGCCAGTGCTGATTGGCCCTGTGCTGATCACATGCACTTGTGACTTCTATCAGTGTCTAGCAGCGCACTGGTTAAAGCTTGTAGGAGCAGTTATAATTCTGCTCTAGGAGGATGCAGAACCCCTGACCTCTTTCTGGACAGTGCTGATTGGCCCTGTGCCGATCACATGCACTCTCCCAAGAAAAAAAAAATCCTCTTTAGCAATACACACTAAACTGAGCATGCACAGAATGGCTACAGGTTCAGTCTGTCTTATCAGGAGATAAGATGTGGACATTTGAACAAGAAGAGGGACAGAGAAGAAAGGATCAAATGGCTTTTTTACACAAGGCAGAGGCTTAACTCCTTAGGTTCCACAGTGAGTATAACAAGCATGCTTTACTGCACATACAGACTGATTTTACTGTTGTGGGTTTAGTAACACTTTAATTCGCTGCCTAGGCTTGTAAAAAAAGGACCGTGCCACAGCTATGTTATAGAGGTACTAAGCTAATTCCTCAAGGTTGTATGATATGAGAATGCTACACCTATTAAATTTAAAGTGTTACTAAATCCACAACAGTAAAATCAGTCTGTATATGCAGTAAAGCATGCTTGTTATACTCACTGTGGAACGTAAAGGGGTTAATCCTCTGCATTGTGTAAAACTGCTGTTTGATCCTGACTTCTCTGATCCTCCCCCTCGTCCAATGCCCCCCTCTTATCTCCTGATAAGACATATCGTGTGGAGTTACATGGTCAGTTTGGTGTGTATTGCTAAGAGAGGTTTTTTTTTTCTTGGGAGAGTGCATGTGATCAGCACAGGGCCAATCGGCACTGTCCAGACAGAGGTCAGGGGTTCTATATCCTCCTAGAGCAGAAAGAAAACTCCTCCTATAAGCTTTAACCAGTGCTCAGCTGGACACTGATAGAAGTCACAAGACTGCTCTAACTGCTGATGAGAAAATATATTTAGCATTTTATATTTTGTAAAATAAATAATTGCATTTCCATGTTCTGTGTACTGTGGGAGACCAGATATAGTGAATGTAGGGTCCAGGGTTTAGTAACACGTTAAGAAACCAATTCATGACTGTTAAAAACCTTAAAGTGAAGCACTAGATAACCTAAGTATATGTAAAAGCATAAGCAAAGGTCCCCCTCCATTTAAACGTACGGCAAAATGATTGATAGATAGATAGATAGATAGATAGATAGATAGATAGATAGATAGATAGATAGATCGATCTAGAGATATTGGCAGCTGAAGTTATAAGCCAATCTTGAATTTTCCTGGAAAAGCTCAGCTGGGTCCAACCACTAACGTATGCATTATGCAAGTACACTGCCTTATCATTACAGTCTGAACAAACCCTGAAGGTAACCTCTGCTTGGGATTTTTTATTAACATATGCTCAGTTTGCATTACCTAGGTCTGTGAAAGGTGAACATTAAAGCGGTAGTAAACCTTGCCTTTTACTTTGCCCTCCAGATACGCGTTTAAGTCTTACTTGTAGTTGCCTTGGAAATGGTGTAAATCTGCGCGGTTTAGTAGATATTCATATGGGCTCAGGCTGATTATGTCATTGATGAATGCCCAGTATACTCTTGCATCCACAGCAGACTGCATGTGTTGTGATTGCAGAGAATGCTCTGCTGCAATGGTGACTCCTGTGCGCATGCGTGGAAGTGACGTCATTCAAATAGGTGAAGAGTACAGTCACTTCATTAGGTACACCTGTTCAATTGCTTGGTAACACAGATTGCTAATCAGCCAATCACATGTCAGCAACTCAATGCATTTAGGCATCTAGATGTGGTGAAGACGACTTGCTGAAGTTCAAACCGAACATCAGAAGGGGGAAAAAAGAGGATTTAAGTGACTTTGAACATAGTTGTGGTGCCAAATGAGTATTTCATAAACTGCTGATCTACTCGGGTTTTCACGCACAACCATCTCCAGGGCTTACAGAGAATTGTCCGAAAAAAAGAACATATCTAGGGATCAGCAGTTGTGTGGACGAAAATGCCTTGTTGATGTCAGAGGTCAGAGGACAATGGGTAGATTGGTTGCTGCTGAGTCAGAATTTGGCGTAAAAACAACATGAAAGCATGGATCCATCCTGCCTTGTATCAATGGTTCGAGCTGCTGCTGGTGGTGTAACAGGAGGGAGATTTTCTTGGCACTAGCAAGGTGTACCTAATAAAGTGGCTGGGGAGAGTATGTACCCAGAAGGAAGACCAGGCGAAGATGGAAGCTCCGGGAGTAGTGGCAGCTCAGTTCTGGATGGCTCAGTTTGAGAGGTAAGTCTGACATATGCAGTGCATACTAACACAGTATGACAACAACCTGGGGTGGGGGACCATTTGTTTTTTAGATGCTACTAAACCCAGGACCCTGCATCCACTATACTTGGTCTCCCCGGACCCTGCATTCACTATATCTGGTCTCCCACAGTACACACAACATGGAAATGCAATTATTTTAGTAAATATAAACTGCTAAATACCTTTTCTCATCAGCAGTATATAGCAGTCGTGTGGCTTCTATCAGTGTCCAGACGAGCACTGGTTAAAGCTTGTAGGGGGAGTTTTCATTCTGCTCTAGGAGGATGCAAAACCCCTGACCTCTGTCTGGACAGTGCTGATTGGCCCTGTGCTGATCACATGCAAAAAAAAAAACCCCTCTCTAGCAATACACGCTAAACTGAGCATATGCAGAGTGTCTGCACATGATATGTCTTATCAGGAGATAAGAGGGTGACACTGAAAGAAGTGGAGGACCAGAGAAGTCAGGATCAAACAACATTTTTACACGATGCAGAGGATTAACCCATAAGGTTCCACAGTGAGTATAACAAGCTGCATACACAGGCTGATTGTACTGTTGTGGGTTTAGTAACACTTTAAATTGCAGAGTTCAATAACATTTTAAAGGAAATCTAAGGTCATAGCGTACAGTTTCTTTTAATAAGATTAGCATTATAATAACAATACAAACAATAGTTAATTTTCAACAATCCTGTATACACTTGCTTCAAAAATCTCTTTTCATGTTGTGAGTTCTGCCTGTCTGCTGGTCATCTCTTTCCATAACTTTCTAGAATCCCTGCATGCTTTGCAGCTTCACTTCTGCTCATTCTTTTGGTTTACCTTTTGATTTCTAAGGACTACATATACCATGGTACCTCACTGCCTACAAGCAGTGATTCCTGTATTGACTCCGCCTCCTGAAACTCCTCCTCTCAGAACCTCTGCAGTTCAGATGGCAGGCTCTGAGAAATGTGTGACACAGCAGTGCCTGAAATACACTAGCTTTTTATCCTAAACTGCTAAAACAGAATCCAGCTACTTTACAAACAAGTATCATTTTATAGACCATATAACTGTAGCTGGCCATACAGTGGTCGATTTTTGTTTTGTTCAGCCCCGCTTCCTAAATGAGAAGAATGTATCAAGATATGCTAAACAGCAGGAATAGAGTATTTGATTGGTTGCAGACCTTGTTCAGGAGATCATTTTCTGCCTGGTTCCTTTGATTTTCAGATCAAAGGATGTTAGATTCGAGGGTGCCAACAGGGCCACCAATTGATTGAATTTACTCTGTGCATGGCTACCTTTAGGCTGATGTCAGATGAGCGATTAGAGACAAGTTGCCAGAGGCAGGATTGCTAAAGAGGTTGTCTGCCTGTCCCTATGGAATCCTTCCCTCTGTAGCCAGATGCAGCAAGATGTCATTCTTTCGCTGAGGTGCACTGTGATGGGAGCAACTTTTGACTGCCTTAGCTACAGAGGGAATGATTCCATATAGACAAAAGCTTAGCCTCCTAGCGTTCCTGCCTCTTCGCCAGTGGCTGAAGCTCCATCTTACATCAGACATAGAGCTGTTTGAGCCTTAAAGTGATATGTAGATCAGATCAGGAGGATATCCATAGAACAGTAGGAAAGATATGGTTCTCTCTATAGCAAAAATCACCTTAAAGGTCATGATAATGGAAGAGGGTGGTGGTGGCTGGAAGTGAACAACTTGGAGGCAATGGTTGTAGTAGGGGATTTGCAGTATGAGGTTGTCCACTTCAGACCGTTACCACTTCTGTTCGTACATCATCAAATTTATTCCCCAAGATGGCTTCACTATGGTTTTGTCAAGTGCTACTGAGGAACATCTGCTGCAACATAACCCAAGGTAATTAACAGATATTCAAGATACAAGTAAAAGTATTATGCAGTGAGAATATCATGCATAGCAGAAAACCCAATTCCTGAATTTCTATGGGTCACCGAGCACAGTTATTTATATCCAGTTTGGGATATAGAAGCAGAGGACAGCACATTTCAGGAAATAATGGTGCAAATAAAGAGAACTGAATTATTAAAGAACAAGCAGCACATTGTTTGGCCCCCCTGGGGAAATGGGTCACGTAAAAGTCACATAAGTAACACCTACAGTATTTATGCCCTTTTCTGTGAAGAAAAAGACCTGCAGTTTGAGCCATAATAAAATAAAAATATTATGAAGTCTCCATTGGTGGTAAAACAGAAAAAACAATCAAGAATACAATCAAGAATAGGTTTACAGAAAATCTGTCTTGAAGCTAAATAACTGTGTGAAAAGCTTCTGACAGAAGCAGTAATCTTTTGACTCCCAGCAACATGAATGTTCTAGGAAGCCTTTCTCAGCTTTTTAACATGGAGGAATCCTTGAAATAACTTTCTGGTCTCACGGAACCAATGCTAATAATTATTATATCTCCAGCTCACTGTACATTAATGTGATGGTCAGTTAGAAGAATACTTTTTACATTGGTGGTCATTGGGAAAAATGCTCCTCCTACAGATAGCTAAAAAGATGTTGGTGTCAATAGGAACTTATCTGCGTAGCTGCAGACCAGTCGGGGTGCCCATGCTGACATACGTCTTCAGCTAAAGGTACCCACAATAGTTACTTGAGCATCAGAACTGGACCACGGAGCAATGGAAGAAGGTGGCCTGGTCTGATGGATCACTTTTTTTTTTTGCATTTTGTAGATGGCGGGTGCATGTGCTTTTTTCTTACCTGGGGAAGAGATGGCACCAGGATGCAGTATGGGAAGAAGGCAAGCTGGTGGAGGCACTGTGAAGCTTTGGGTAATGTTCTGCAAGGAAACCCTTGGTTCTGCCATCATGTGGATGTTATTTGACACGTATCACCCACCTAAATATTGTTGCTGACCAAGTACTGTACACCCCTTTATGTGTAACACACTGCACTAATACTGGTTGCAGGATGTTAATTAAACACAAGATGGCAGTGTTCTGTGGTTCAGTTGTTTAGACTCTAATTAAGCAAAGCTGTCAGAGATGCAGGTGTGACCAGAAGTGTGTGGACTGACACAGGGAAACACAGGCTTCAGATATGGTATAAATAAGACAATTTATTAAGACTAACAATACAAATATAAATGCAGTGCACCAAACCCCAAGCTAACACAAATACATACAACAAGATGAAACAAACCTAAACTGATATAGATACACAGGTACATAAACATATAGAGCACAACGTAGTCAGGCAGGCCGGGTCGATAACTATCGGGCAGGTAGGTACAGGAGGAGCAGGCGGAGAGTAGTCAGGTCACAAGCCGGGTACAGCAACTAACGGACAGGTAGGTACAGGGGGTCAAGCAGAGAATGGTCAGGGTCACAAGCCAGGGATCAAACAGGAGAAGTCAGCAGAGGTCAGGATCAGGCAGGGTCGGCAACAAGTCAGGCAGAAACAGGAACAGGAATGCAGGTTACAAGATACAGGGGCCCATGGAAAAAACACACACCGAGGCACAGACTGCAGGTCTGGCCATCCCTTAAATACACCACCTGCAATCAGCCCCAGGTGATGGCTAATTGCCGAAGTGAACCTCTGGTTGTTGAGAGCACCCGCTGGCCAGCCCTGGTACTGCAGCCCACAAGCCAGGTGAGTCCCACCACTATTGGCAAGTTCATTCCTGACAAAAGCCTTGTTTAACTTGTATGCTGGTAGCAGGACTTTTTCACTCAAACAAGGAGTGAACAGACTACATTTTCCAGAAGAGCTGGCAAAGGGGTTGGAGAATATATATTGAAAAGCCTAGAAACTTTACAGGAAGGAAGTAAATGGTGAGAGGCGGAGGATGGGTGTATGTGGGGAAGGCCGTGCAGGACCCATGGGATCCAGGCTGGATCGGGTCCCTTCGAGGAGAAGGAAAAAAGGATTGAAGACTGCTGGTATCGCTGAAGAGCAGGGCAGTCAATTCTGTAGGCAGGTGGATTGTAATGCTGCTTTCGAGATTACTTCTTAACAGAGGGACCAAGAAGACATGGGGGACTCCCCCCAACAGAGACACTACCACTTACGCTGAAAATGCTACAAACCGGTTGACAGGGTTCCATAAGAAAAATTAATAATAGCGCCTATGGTCAAAATTATATAACTTACTAATAGTGTACCAGCTGCAAAAAAATCACCATATATAAAGTGTACCAATAAATAAATAATTTGCGCTAGTAAATGTGTATAAATATATAAATATATATAAAGAAATCATCAAATCATAAGTCCAGAAAAAAATATATATATGCCAATACCACAAAAATATATATATAAAAAAACTTTTAAGTGCAAAAAACTTTTGTGCAAAAAAAAGTGTCTAAATATGAAAAATTTCACCAAAAAACCTTGATAATATAATGGCAGATCATCCATAAATATATCTTCAGAAACGGAAACTCTGCAACACACCGATCCTCATCGATCGAAATAACAGGATGAAAAACTTTGTAGTTAATCGAAAATCCACTTCTCCAATAGATAAAGGACCACCTTCAAACGTATCCATGGGGGGAAATGCCAAGCACTCGAGAGAAACAGAAAGACTTCATGGTGCAATATTATAAAAACCAATTCCTTTATTAGGTACTCATTGCACTTACTCAAGAGGTGTCCCAGCCGACACCAGCATCAACAGCATAACAGCAATCACATAAACGAGCCTGGCTACTCAGCACATGCGCAGTAGCTGGCAGCCAAAAACGTAATGACGTCACATCAATCAAGCTCCGCCCTACGCGTTTCATCATCGACGTCCTCACGCTCCGTGAGGACGTCGATGACGAAACGCGTAGGGCGGAGCTTGATTGATGTGACGTCATTACGTTTTTGGCTGCCAGCTACTGCGCATGTGCTGAGTAGCCAGGCTCGTTTATGTGATAGCTGTTATGCTGTTGATGCTGGTGTCGGCTGGGACACCTCTTGAGTAAGTGCAATGAGTACCTAATAAAGGAATTGGTTTTTTATAATATTGCACCATGAAGTCTTTCTGTTTCTCTCGAGTGCTTGGCATTTCCCCCCATGGATACGTTTGAAGGTGGTCCTTTATCTATTGGAGAAGTGGATTTTCGATTAACTACAAAGTTTTTCATCCTGTTACTTCGATCGATGAGGATCGGTGTGTTGCAGAGTTTCCGTTTCTGAAGATATATTTATGGATGATCTGCCATTATATTATCAAGGTTTTTTGGTGAAATTTTTCATATTTAGAAACTTTTTTTGACAGGGTTCCATAACCCAGATCTACACAAGTTGCAAGTGGATAAGTTAATTCCAGTTGTTCAGTTCAGTACACCTTATACCACAGATTATCACATTGACTGCC